TGAAATGAATAAGCCTCAGGCTGAAGGGAAAGTAAATTTACGTCCGTACAGTAGAATGCAGAAGAAGACATTTCAACACACTTCAGCAGTAAAAAAGACACAAATGTTTGTCTAGAGTAATTTTTGCTTATTAGTATGGTTGAACTGGATCATCGAAGGTCAGAAGCAAAGACATTGGTTAATAGAATGGGATTAAATACATAAAGCATATTTGTGTTGTTTAACATTTAATTATTGCAGGTCTGAGTTGCATTATTTTTATTAATTTTGAGGAATACTGAATCTGTGTGTTTTTGTGAGTGAGATGAATTAATGCATATTCATATTTATTTTAGAACTACAGTAACATCTGATTTCTCTCAACATGGGGACAGGAGAGCTGGCAATCAATAAATTGAAAAAAAAAAGTAACTTGCGTTACGTATTTGAAAAAGTAACTCAGATATTCTCTTGTAAATTAAAAAGTAATGCGTTACTTTACTAGTTACTTGAAAAAAGTAATCTGATTATGTGACTCGCGTTACTTGTAATATATTACCCCCAACACTGATAATAAGATTACAAATGCAATGGATACAACATAAATTATAAAAAAAAAAAAAAAAAAAAACTATGTTGTCTAACTATTTCCTACAGTTTAGCTATGCTTAAATCCTGAAGACATTTATACAATCTGGACAAATTCACATGAACAGTGAGCAAAGAATTACTGCCAAAAATAGATGTGATCAGGACATATTAATAAATACACCAGATTATTAAACTATAAAGTCCAAAACTCCACTCCAGACAACAGCTGTCTAAAAATCAGGCATCGATTCACTGAGGTCTTTACAATGAGACCATATGATACTGCTGTCATGTCTGAGTTTGTCTTCAACATGACGCTGCATCTCTTGTGTGTTGGTGTCATCCTCAGATCACTTTAGCCACCTGTATATACAGTATGTAGAAAGATCGAAAAAATAAATACATTTTTTTAAACATATAAACATTAAAACATATACCTCCCACCTCACACACACACAAACACACACCGAAAACGTACCGTTTAATCAACAGTGGGTTCAGTCTGCAGTCAGACACATGCAAGATGAGACAGCACAGAGAGAGAGATTAATTTGGAGAATATCAAAGAATAGAAAACCGTATGACTTGTCAAATGTGGGTTTATTAGCAATATGATGACATACAAAAGCAGAACTGGGCAGTCTTTTGACTTCAGGCTCAGCAGGGCCAATAGTCCGGTTTCTCACCAGAGTGTGAAGAACTGATCAACAGAACAAGTGCCAACTTAAACAGATGACAACAAATCTGACAAATAGTTGAGCATTTACATTCATACAAATAATGAGGTGACATCAGTCAGGACTTGTGGAACTGAAGCTAAGTTTTGCACTGTGAATAAACAATTCCTCATTACATTTATAATAACAAAATGCTTGTTAAAAGAAATATTACGTATGATGTATTCAATGGGTTTGGGTGATGGACTGATCTGTCTAAATCGGTTTGTTTCTCAGTCCCTATATTTGGAATGCAACCTTCAGCTCGGTATTTGTCTACTTGCTGAAATCTTTTAACATCTTCTTAGCTTCGGGCTATTTAGTTATTTGATTATCAGGTGTACCGGCAAAAAAACTCTGTAAAAGAAAGGTGTTTTGAAACAGCTCTTATGCTGCGTACCCTCTCTCGTGATGTTCTCAGCGGCGGACTTGGCCTTCCCGCTTATATCGCTGACCATCTCGTCTACTCTGGCTTCATGCTTCAGGAAAAGTGGCCGCACCGTATACCTGTACAGAATCTGAGAACCATTCCAGGAGACCGAAGCCATGCACCACAACAGGAACAAGCACTAAACACCAGAAGGACAAGGGAGTGAAAGAAAGTTATCTGGTGTGAGAATTCATCACTACACCATAGAGTTGTCCCAACCAAGGTTAAGAGACTAAAGCGACAGAGTTATAAAAGTTTATCAGTTACTATTTGTGTTTTATTACGGGAATATACTCTCGCTTTCCCTTTTTGCCAAACTACCTCTTTTCGATTCGAGTTTCAGTTGTTGTGGCTTCAGTTTACTTCTACTGCATATAGTGACACTGTGACGCAACATGCACAGACAAATGATGAAAGTATACATTTTCCTATTAAATTTGTTCCAATAACTCTAAAATGTGAATAATTATTATAGGCCTTACCACAGTGATTTAGGGTAAAGCAAAAAGGCAGTTTGGAACATGGTTTTATAATGAACTACTCAGTCATTTAACCCTCCTGTGATGTCTGGGGTCAAATTGACCCCAAAGCAACTTTGACTTCTCTAAAAAAAAAAATATGAATAAAATTATATTTTTAAAGCTTGAATCTTTCTGACTTTTGCTACAAATTCATAAACATGCACATCTTGTTTTACAAAGTTTTTAAAATGCCTGTGCACAATTTGACCCAATTGGTGATGTCTGGGCTCTATTGCCTCTCATGACAAAATATCTAATGAGTAAATATCATTTATGCCTTGGCATTAATTTACATTTTACTATAACTGTACTGCATATGAAGGACAATTTTTGTCCTTTTCAGAGTTGCATGTACCTTTATCTACTATTTCATACAATAATGTGTTTACAAACACCGTACACACATTTTTACAAGCTTCTATCAAAAAGTATTGTTGTTTCCATATTATATTGGGACTATTCATAGACATAATAATTTTTATACTGTACTAACTGTATTTCCATTCCTTTAACCCTACCCCTCACACAAAACCTTCTGCATTTTTACATTTCCAAATAAAATAAAAAACAAGCTGTTTTCCTCATGGGGACCAACTAAATGTCCCCACAATATCAGAAATGTCAGGTTTTACTGTCCTTGTGGGGACATTTGACTGTCGTTCTCTGTCTAAAGAAAAATGACCACAAGATACACTGTGAGTGAGGTGTTATGCTGCGTTCAAGTCCTCCTGGGACGTTCGTACTTAAGTCGTAATTACGACGTCAGGTGCGTTCAAGTCAGTTTAGTCGGCACAATATGGCAGTGTACCTTCTTTTAATAAATTACAAGAAAATACAACAGGGTCTGTTAACTCTGCTTATAGAAAATGAAAAGCAAAGAATTCGCATCAGGTGTGTTTTGCGTTTCTAATATTTTTAAAAAGTAATTTATGAAGCCACTTTAATCTGTATCGCATAACAACTTCATCAAAACCATCAATTTAAACAAAAATTTACCGTCAACTACAGACGCTGCATCCATCGATTCCGCCATGTTTCTCATTGACACGCACCCAACTCGGAAACTCGGGGCTTAAAGAAAATGTCGAGTTTCCCACTCGTAATAACGACTTTGTGGTGGCGTTCATGTGCGTTCAACTCGTAAATATCCGACATGACTTGAATGCACCAATAGGGCAATATTTGGATGATATGAGTGATTTAGAGGACAATGGGGTTTTTTTCCTATGTAAATGAAGCCATTAAATAAATAAAATATATAAAAAACAAAAAGTTATGTTTTGTCCTAAAATTTATTTAAAATATTGGGTAGGTAAAGTGTAAGTAAATAAAAATAAATTATATTGTCAGTCTGAGTAATTTACTGATATATATAAATATTTGGGGTCAATTTGACCCCAAATGTTAAAAACGTGATTGAAATTTGCACTTAACAGGAGGGTTAAATTTTGTAATTTTGAACATGAAAAAGTTACATAGTGTAGTTTTAAATTATGTATTTTTTTACAGTTTACATTTTAGAGTCTCAGGATGTTTCATACTAACTATTTTATAAAATCATATTTGTATATAAAAATTTTAAAAACATATTTATGTTCAAATTATAAAATAAACCAGGTTTAAAATAATATAATAAACAGCACAAAAACACAGATACATGTTTTATTTATATACTATTATAGCATTCATTGATTATTTGAATTTATTTTCATTAAGTTTGAGTAATTTTGTTACAGGCTTTTGTCATTTTTTTAATTCGTTTTTGTTTTTTATTAAGAACAAATAAGAAATATTTCTATTTAGCTTCATTTTTTTATTTTATTTTTTTATTTTTTTATTTACTTTTTCAGTTTGGTAATTTAGTGTTAGTTGCCAAGGTAAAATCTGTAGTTTATGCTTTCCCTCTAATATTATATAGTGTATATTATATATTATATTTTTGTATAGTTTTAGTTTTAGGTAAAAATAATAACACTGACTGGTAACAGTCAGGCTGAAGGGAAAGTTAATTTACGTCCGTACAGTAGAATGCAGAAGAAGAAATTTCAACACACTTGAGCAGTAAACAAAGACACACAAATGTTGTCTAGAGTAACTTTGGCTTATTAGTACAGTTGAACTGGATCATCGAAGGTCAGAAGCAAATAGAATGGGATTAAATACATAAAGGATATTTGTGTTGTTTAACATTTAATTATTGC